CTGTCGCGAAGCATATGCAATAACCTTGCCATTCTGCATCAACACCGCACCAAGTCCAATACGTGATGCATCACAATACACTGTATATGGCCCTAAACCTGTAGGCAAAACCAACACTGGCGCCGTAGTCAAAGCTGTCTTGAGCTTCTGAAAGCTCGCCTCACACTCATCCGATCACCTGAACTGGGCACCCTTCTGGGTCAACCTTGTCATCGGGGCTGCAATAGAAGAAAATCCCTCCAGAAACCGACAGTAATAACCCGCCAAACCCAAGAAACTCCTGATCTCTGTAGCTGATGTGGGTCTAGGCCAGTCCTTGACTGCCACAATCTTCTTAGGATCCACCTAAATACCCTCTGCTGATATAACATGGCCCAAGAATGCAATCGAACTCAACCAAAACTCACACTTTGAAAACTTGGCATACAACTGACTATCCCTCAGAGTCTGAAGAACGACTCGAAGATGTTGCTCGTGCTCCTCCCAACTGCAGAAATAGATCAAAATATCATCAATGAAGACTATCACGAATGAATACAAGTAAGGCTCACATTTATCAAATCCATAAAAGTTATTGGGGCATTTGTCAACCCAAATGACATCACCAAGAACTCATAATGCACGTACCGAGTGCGGAAAGCTGTCTTAGGGACATTGGATGCCCTAATCCTCGACTGATGGTATCCAGATCTCAAGTCAATCTTTGAAAACACCTTGCCACCCTGAAGCTGATTAAACATATCATCAATCCTCGGAACGGATACATATTCTTGATAGTGACCTTGTTCAACTGTTAGTAATCTATACGCATCCTCATCGATCCGTCCTTCTTCTTAACAAACAACACCGGTGCACCCCAAGGTAAGACACTAGGTCTAATAAAACCCTTATCAAACAAGTCTTACAACTGTTCTTTCAATTCTTTCAACTCTGGCGGGGCCATGCGATACGGCGGAATAGAAATGGGCTGAGTGCCGTGAGTCAAATCAATGAAAAAGTCAATATCCCAGTCGGGTGGCATGCCTGGCAGGTTTGTAGGAAATACCTATGAAAACTCACGAATAATAGGCACAAATCCATAGAAGGAACCTTGGCACTAGAATCACGAACATACGCTAATTAGGCCAAATATCCCTTCTCAACCATACGCCGAGCCTTCATATATGAGATAACCATACGGGTGGAATAACCAGGAGTTCCTCTCCAATCTACACAAGGTAAACTCGTTAAGGCTAAGGTCATAGTCTTGGCATAATAGTCCAAGATAGCGTGGTAAGGTGATAACCAGTCCATCTCTAATATGACATCAAAATCAACCATATCCAGAATTAATAGATCTACTCGGGTCTCAAAACCCCCAATCACAACTATACATGAACGATGACACGATCCACCACAATAGAATCACCCACCGGTGTAGGTACATATATAGGAGCACTCAAAGAATCACTAGGCATGACCAGATACGAGGCAAAATAAGATGACACATAGGAATATGTAGATCCTGGATCAAATAGAACTGAAACATCTCTACTACAAGCCAGAACAATATCTGTGATAACTGCATCGGAGGCCTCAACCTCGGGCATAACTGGAAGAGCATAACATCGGTGCTGGGCCCTACCACTCTAAGCTACGTCCCTAGGACGGCCTCCTGCTGGCTGGCCTCTACCTCTAGCGGCCTGACCTCCACCTCTAATACCTCTACCTCCACCTTTAGCACCTCTACCCCTACTCTTAGCTGGATGAGTGGGCGGTAGAACACCTGGTGCCTGAACCATAGCATGGGAACCCTGCTGTTGCGACTGAAAACCCACTAATCTCGGACAAGCCCTCCGGATATGACCATACTCACCGTACTCAAAACATCCACCTGACTAATGCGGCTGAGGGAACTGAGACTGATCCTGGGGGGCCAGCTGACCATGAGAATAGCTCTGAATAGAAGATGCCCTGATAGGAGCTGATGGTGCACGATAGGACTGCTGATCAGAGTACTGCATATGAGAACCACGGCCACCTGAAGCACCATAAGAAGTCTGGAGTGCTGAATGAAATGTCCTGGGAGGATGGCCCCTACCAAAAGAATCCCTGCCTCCAGATGAGGCACCACTGAACTTGCCTGAATGATAGGGCCTCTTGTCAGAACCCTGACCACTACCTTGTGATAGAACCATCTCAACTCTTCTGGCCACATTGGTCACATCCTGAAAAGAAATCTCGCTCCCAGTCTCCTTAGCCATCTGCAATCGAATCGGCTGAGCAAGTCCCTCAATGAACCTCCTCACCCTTTCTCTCTTGGTGGGAAGTATGATAAGAGCATGACGGGCCAAATCAATGAATCTGGTCTCGTACTGAGTAACGTCCATAGAATCCTGCTGGGGATGCTCAAACTGTCTCTGATAGTCCTCCCTCTGAGTGATAGGAAGAAACTTCTCCAGAAATAGCTGAGAGAACTTATACCAAGTCAAGGCAGGCGACCCAGCTGGCCTAGCCAAACAATAATCCCTCCACCAAGTCTTGGCATAACATGATAGGCGAAAAGCAACAAATTTGACCCCATTGGTCTCCACTATCCTCATGTTCCGAAGAACCTCATGACATCTATCTAAGTAATCCTAGGGATCCTCTGAAGATGTACCACCATAAGTAGTAGTGAATAGCTTGGTGAACCTGTACAACCTCCACAAAGCATCGGCAGACATAACTGCTCCATCACCGGTCTGAGCTACCACACCTGACTGGACTGCTCCAACTGGCTGAGTTGCTGGAGTCTAAAACTGGGGAGCCATCTGCTCTGGAGTGCGGGTAGCGGGAGTCTGTGCTCCTCCCCCGGCCCGAGAGATGGCTGGTGCTACAGGAAGTGAGCCTTCCCGGGTGACACTCTCCATAAGACCCACTAGACGGACCAGAGCATCCTGAAGTACTAGGGTAGCAATGAACCCCTCTAGGACCTGAGCTGGGCCCACCAAAACTGTCTGGGCCTGAACCTCATCATCAAACTCAACTTGAGTCTCCACCGTTGTTGCTGGTGCTCTAGGCTGAGCTTTGCCCCTACCTCGGCCTCTATCACGGCCTCATCCTCGCCTTCTACCCCTCATGGGAGTTGCTGCTGGGGGCTCGGGGCTACTGGTCAGTGGATGAAGAAGTGTGTGTTCTCGCCATGTGCGAAAGAACAGAGTAGAAATACAATTAGCATTGAGAAACCAAATCGCACGACAGAGATGAATAGAAGTGAAAATGTTCCTAACTTAGCAGCTTTTAGGGATAAGCACATATGTCTCATACCAATCTCTCAGACTCTACCAAGCTTATCTGTGAATTGTGAGACCTAAGCAACCTAGAGCTCTGATACCAACTTGTCACGACCCGGATTTCCCACCCTCGGGAGTTGTGATGGCGCCTACTCGTGAAAGCTAGGCAAGCTGAGTATTATAGATTCACTAACCCTTTTACTTAGCCTTTTTAACAGTTTAAAACAACATGCGATCAATAATAGAATATTAATAATAATTAAAGACATGCAGAAGACGAAATCTGATAACTTAGCCAAATACAAGTACGAAAAATACAAAGTACATATCTATTCAGAACTGGTGTTACAATAACATGGACAATCTACGAATACTGCAAACAGTTTTCTGGAAAGAAAGATACAATCTGTCTCTAAAATAAATGAAAACAGAATATAAAGATAAAAGGGGACGCAAGGGCCTATAGACGCCTGCAGGACTACCTCGGGTCTCCTGATGGAATGAAGGTAGCAATCTCTCTCTACGGTCCGTATGCTTCAGTACCGTGATCTACACACAGTATAGAGTGTAGTATCAGCACAATCGACCCCATGTGCTAGTAAGTGTACAGCCTAACCTCGGCAAAGTGGTGACGAAGCTAGGATAAGACTACCAACTAAACTTGTATAGTTAAAGCATATATATAAATAACAAGTAATAATAAAGGAAACTAGCAGTTAAAGATGGGAAGGGGGACATGCTGTGGGGGAATATCATTTACCAACAGTAACTCAGGAGAAAAGCATAAAGAACAATTTAAAATTTGCAGCAGAAAGAATAAGAAAACAGTAACAAATCAATATCCACTTTTATCCTTTATTGTTGCGGCGCGCAACCTGATCCAAATCATAAAATACTGTTGCGGCGCGCAACCTGATCCAAATCATAAAATACTGTTGCAGCGTGCAACCCGATCCAATCATATATCACTATTACGACGTGCAACCCGACCCCTCTTGTCCTCCCTTATTACTCCATGTTGCGGCGTGCAACCCGATCCCATATAATATTGTTGCGGCGTGCAACCCGATCCAAATATACAATTCAACACCAATCACAAAAGAGTCCCGGTAAGGGATCAATAAGGAAACAACAATATCCCGACAAGGGAATCAACAATGAGAATAAACATATCTCAGCAAGGGAACCAACATCAAGAATTAAATACGTCCCGGCAAGGGAACCAACAACAAGAATTAAATACATCCCGACAAGGGAATCAACTATAACCAAACTTGTACCAATATTTAACTTCACAAATGAAACCTCAACTAGAACCAATACTCAACAATAAACAACTACCACGAGAATAATCACAATTCTTGCCCAACACGAAAACAACTTAGGCATTTTGTAGTATTTATTAAGAACACAACGATTACAATTTAAGACTCACTGGCATGCTTGACAACGACATATAGATACTCGTCACCACACCTATACATCATACACTACTCTAGCACATAGCAATTAAATCACAATACCTATTCCCTCAAGCTAAGGTTAGGCTAAACACTTACCTCGAACTTCCACAGCCAACTCAAGCCTCAAACACCGCTTTTCCTTTAGAATTCGTCTTTGAATTGCTTGTATTTAGTCCAAATTAATTTAACAACATCAATAAATGCTAAAGAATTCATACCCAATGCTCATTTATAGATTTTCTATCATTTTCCTTAAAAAGTCAAAATCGACCCAGGCCCGCTTGGTCCAAACTCGGGGTTTGAACCAAAATCCGTTTACCCATTCACAGTTGAATTATATTTAACAAGAACAGCGAGCTGGAAAAGCAGTGTCGTCCATACTTTTCTAATATGCATGTTCTGTAATCGTCAATGTAAAAGAAAATTACGTTTTTCTAAAAATTTAAAAGATGAGAATGTATATTCCATTCTATGATCTTGTGTGCACCTTACACCGTTATACTGATGTTATGGATTTGGATGTTTCCTTCTATCACTCCAATCAACTTCATGCTAGAAACCATATGTATTCTTATTTGCACCTACTAAACAACAATGTACAAAGAGTGGCGAAGCTTTTTAAACTAATGCTCGAATATAAATTCAATTAATGGCTTGGCATAGTCATATGTAACACAGAAATAACATACAAGAAATATGAAGAACTTTATTCAGAAAATGTGCTTATACCCATACTAATTAATGCGACAACAAACACTGACCCGAAGAAAAAAAGTACTTCAATTTGGATCCGAAAAAGTCACTGCAAACTCAATCGCGTAATATGGTAGCACACGAGATCTTATTTGAGGAAGACAGTCTGAAGGTTTCTGTGTTTTTCTGCTGTAGAAACTATTTGCTCTGTGATTTCAGCTGGTGGGTTTGCCTCTAGTAGGAAGAGATTCTCAGAATCAACGAAAACTTTCCAAGATTTTTGGATATTATTTGTGGAGGAAATTAATGGTCGATGATGAATCTTCTTAGGGTGGGGTGATGCGGCGGAAGCTGGCTATTTCTATGTGTGTCTTTTCATTTTTTTCCGAGAAAAGAGATGGATCATTCATCCTCTGAAAGGGGGAGGGCGCCGTTCTAGCCTTTTAGTCATTAGGAGTTAAAAGGTAGGTTAGGGTTTGGTTATAATTGGGTTTAAATATGGGTGTAAGAATTGACATGGGCCATTAGATTGGAGGGGAATCAACGGCTAAGATTAAATCTTGCATTTAAGTGGAGAGTGGACTAATGTGTTGAGAAGAATGAGTCTTTGTCTTGCTGGGCCACTCAAATCCAAAAATAAACTCCCAATTAGTCCAAATTTTACTACGGACCTCCCGAGACCGACGGAACACGGGTCTGAGTCCGTTTACTCAAAACGTCGACCAAAGTCAACTAAAAATTAATTTTAACTCTCAAAAATTATTATTTCACATATTTTCACATAAAGGATTTCGGGATTCACGCCCGGACTGCGTACAAAAATCGAGATAAATAAAAAAATATGTTTACGGCTAACGAGCCCGGAATAGAGTCTTAATTCATAAGATGACCCTTTGGGTCATCACAGCTCATGACTTGTGACACCCTGATGTTGGGCTTGTGTTATGTTTCCGCACTGGTTATTTAGACTCATATTATAAGATTTCTTCTTAATTAATGGCTTAAACATAACTTTTATAGAATAATGATTTGATTTGAAAATTTTGTCGGCTGGTCTAATTTCACGATAGGCGCCATCACGAACGGTCAGTTTTAGGGTTGTGACAATATCACTTAAGAAAAGAAAAGCCATCATCTCCAAGAAAGAAAGCCACCAAAAATCAACCCACTCCAAAACAATCCACCTTTAAATGAAATTTGGCGGGGTTTCTATAGCGCAAAGAGGAAAACCGTCGAAAATGAGCAGAAAGTCATTGACTATCCCTCTCCTAAAATCTTCGGCGAACCCTCAACCAAAAAATCATCCTTTTCATTCATTAACACCACTAGTTAAACACAATCAGACCAAAAAAATAAGAGAAACAACCTTAAACTACCACGATAAAGACATCTAAATCAATCACGTCTCCTCTAAATCGTCACCAACAAACATTTAAAATCTTAATATTTTAGGTAATAAGAAGTGGTTGAGGATGTGAGTGGAAAAGAATGAACAGAAAAAGAAAAGGAAGAAAGAGAAAGAAAAGAAAATCGAATAGAGGTGCTAGAAGTGGGGAGAAGGTGTGATGAACCGGGGGAGATGGGAAAATGACTGATGAGTTCTCTGGCATAGAGAAGAAAACAAGAAGAAAGATAAAAAAGAAAAGAAAAAGAAAATAAAAACATTGAAAACAATAATGAAGAAAAATGGTCAAATATATTGATTTTGGACTTCTGACGTGCCTAATTTTCGTGCAAATACAATGCATGCCATGTGGGCTCAAATGGGTTATTTATTCCACCTCAAACAATACCAGGGATCATAATATCCTCGCAAAGTATGAAGGTTTAACTGGTAAAGTGAAAAAATCCCAAGGGGGTGATTATATATTATCTCTTTTAGAATTCTTAATTATACGACTGAGAATTAAAAAGATAAAAGGTTGGACTTGTCTTCTTCTTAAATTAACCATTGAAATAGACATAAAGATGATTTATTTTAATTTCATTTAAAAAAATTTAGTTTCCCCTAATGCTTTATCGAAATTAAAGTATACTAGGTATATGTTTACCTATAAAATAGTATAGTTGAATTTATAAGTGGTTTCTAAACAAGTGAATTAAATTCATCCTGAAATAATAAAATAATTGAAAAAATATGCAATACTTAGCCTTCAAATGATGATAAAATAGCATAAACGATGATTCCAGGAGCAAGTCTTCCGAACACAACAACGATGAAATCAAGGAATAAGAAGGTAAAAATATATAAAGCTTTGGATTGATTATAGCATAAGTTTACCAGAAAATTCGTGTCCTTACAATGACAATATCACTCACTATTTATAGCTGCACATAGGGAACAAGGTCCTAGGATCATGCCCTTCTTTAATGTTAATTATGAGGGCCATTGAAGAAGGTGTAACGGTGAGCATAAATGACAAATTCTCTGTAACGAAAAGTGCACTAAATGCTATGAAATATTCTCTATTGAATGCTACCGGACGGAGGATATTTATTGCATCTTCATGAGTGTTATTTATTCCGGTGGCAAGCAAAACTGTTGCCTTCGGTTCTACCTATCCTCTGCTTTTAGCTTCACGTGTAACTCTCTTATACGACCACTTGGTATAGCATATTTTACCCTATACAGATAGTCCCCCTGCTTTTTGGTGACATAACTTGTGTCACCAGGAATTGTTATAAACATTCTTTTTGGCGGGAATTACTTTGATGACCTCTGAAAAGCTTTGGACGGTTGATTAGATGTACCACTCTCCGCATTTAATGCCCCGAACATACGTCATCCCACGATTCAGCATAACATTTGCCGGTTATCGAGATAATTGTGGCCACGAACTTAGCCACCTAAACCTTTACTTATACGTATCAACCTCCTTCATTCATACTCTATAATTCTCAAAACTCTCTCAAACTCCCTTCATTCAACTTTTCTTTAACTCTCTTCAAATGAAAAAAAAACTTTTCCTTCTTCCATAACATACAATGGCTTCTTCTTAAAAAAATACCAGTTCTTCCAAGAACAAAAACAAATCCAAAAACACCACACCTCCAATCGTGAGCACCATCATCCCTAGAAGTCTTGTCACGTCCAAAGACTTCGAAGAGAAATTTCCTTCTATTAGCTCTCATACAAGGGCCGTTAGCAGATATCCTTCTTCTATCCGCCCTTCTAGCATTCCTGCTCTGAAGAAAGATTGTTATTGCCGGGATTTAGACATTATTGCTCCTGATCTGGCGGAGCGAGTAACCTTACCCAATAAGGGTTTTACGTACTTTTATATGTATCCCTTCACATTGGGGACTTTTTCTCAGAGTGGAGAGCTTGAATCCATTATTACGGAGTTTTTCCTCCACTATCAAGTGTGTTTAGCACAGGCGAGTCTCTCCGTGTAGAGGACAATTGCTTGTCTTCAACGTTTGTGCCCGAAAATGGGAGAGGAGCTAACTTTAGCTCATGTGATGAACTTTTATTCCCCCANGGGGGTTGATCAACTTTAGCCACCAGGGCCACTTTGCATTTCTATCTAGCATGGATGATGATAATGACCATGGGTGGATGTAATGGTTTGTTTCAATTGCCGCCAGTGACATCATCTTGACCTCGGTACCTTCATTCTCGGAACTGTGGAACTGTATTCGTAAGCATACAATCTATTTCTTTCCTTGTCAAATATTATTTCCTCGTCATTATTAACTTTTGTTTTCTTACGTGCCTCAGTGACTCGGTGGTTTCCTTCTGGGGTTAAGGACTTGGACCGATGGGTTCAGAAAATTTTGGACTTTACTATGCCTGAAACCCACTCATGGAAAGAGCTGTCCCTGAAGTATGGGTGGAAGGCGAAAAATCATTGTAAGTTTAACTCATCATGTCATTACCTTTCCTTATGAGAAGGCTCGATTGTCTTCCCCAAGGAGGACATTTTAGTTGATCCTGCTGATGCTGCGAGGTTGCTCCAAAAAGCTTTTCTCACACAGGCGTCTCCGGGCCTGCTTCTGGTGTAAGTGCTTCTTCTCGGAGTCCCCGGCCAGAGAATAAGTAGCCAAAAAGAAGGCATTTTTTCGTGATTGGGGGAAAGAATAAGAGGGCGAAGAAAGCTTCCCCTGAGTCATCTCGAGAAGTTGTGGTGATGAGCCCTCCGCCCGGGCCGACCATTGATACCGTGATAATTGACGATGATGAAGAAACTAGCGAGGATGAAGCTTCTCTTCATAGAAAACGACGATCTTCCTCAACTCAATAGACCGCTCCATCTGTTGAGTTAGTTATACCAACAGAGGATGATGTCTCGGTGCTCTAGGGGGAGTATGAAATGGCAAAAAATGCCGACTCCCGCTTTTGGATCCCAATCGCTACTCCCGGTATTTTGGGGCTGAGTACCGGGTCCTTTCTGTCTTCAGTTGACGAGCAACCAACAACTAGCACTGCGTTTGTCACAACTGCTACTCACCCTCCATCACCATCATCTTCATCTCCATCTTCACCAGCACCAGCAACTGCTACATCATCTCCACTTTCACCAACTCTTACACCAACAACTGCTACATCATTTCCACCAACCGCATCTGCCGGAGAAGAGGGTATTCCTCTCACCGAGTCCCCAATTCATGGGAATTTGGGGAAAAACTATGTTTTCCTTAGAAGATCTACAAAGGAGGAGGAAAGTTACTCTCTCAGTTTCTACTGGATGTAATTTGCTATCCAGTCGGTGGAACTGGATAACTATCTGAAGCCTTTGGCTTAGAAAAAAACATTGGAAAAGATATAGGCTCTCTCGGGAGAGTAGTTGTTGAATAATGCTATGCACAATGCAATACTTTTGTCATTTCTTCTATTTTTGACAGAAAATATCCTGAGTTTGTCCTTCTTATTTTGTAGGCAACTTCCTTGCTTTCGAGGGCCTCCAGAGGTTTATTCGGGAAAAAGAAGAACTTACCTCTGAATGTTATCAACTTTTGGCCGAGCGGGTGCAAAGTGCTGCTCGCCTCTCAGAATGGGAAGCCAAAGCTGCTAAGGCCGTTGTGTTGGATACTCGTTTGCAGCAAAGCGAGTAAGAAGTGGAAACCCTTAGCTAGGAGACTGACCCAATGATGGTTCAATTTGAAGAGGCCAAGGCCAAATGGTCTGAAGTCCATACTACCATTCTTGCTGCAACCAATCGCTAGGGTGCCTCCACTGAAAGATTAACTAGCTTAAAAGTGGTCTTGAACTCCAAAACTGAAAAGCTTGCTGCCGCGGGGTCATACCTTATTGGAGAAAAAGTATAGGAAAACTATCGACCATAATAGGCACTTTAGCTCAACTGTCTGTGACCTTGATGTTAGCCTCAGATCCGTTAGATCCAGCCCAGGAAAACCATTCTGCTGAGGTAATCCAACTCAAATAAGAACTTAAGCGTCGAGCGGCTTCCCTCGTTATTGAGAAAACTTACACTATGTACAACATAAGGAGAAAAATCTTGGAAGAGGCTAAA